CGTAGATTTTGCAATGGATAAGTAGAAATTGATTTTAGCATTGTAATTTTATAGCAGTTCATAGTTTTAATACATGTATTCCAATTTTGGGACAAAAGGCAAATTATTTAACTATATGTGTGTTTACATTTTTTTGTCAAGTTAGGTTATAATCTTATTTAAGGACAAATAAATGTTCAAGTTTGGGGGTGTTTGATAAGTGTATTTTGTACACTTATTTATGTCGTTAAATTAGAATATTTATTAGTGATTTGGATTAGTTATATCTTAATTTTGTGTTAATTATGTTTGTTAGGTTGAACTCAATGCAATTTGGTGGATTTGGAAGAAAAGAATGAAAAACGTGAGAAAATGAAGGAAATCCAAAGTTTGGGGACCAAAGTGTAACATCCAATAGTTGATTCGGAGCACAAAATGATGATTGAAGATCGTATTGGATCAATCGGATGCAATTTGAGGTCAAATGAGTGAAATATAGTGGAAGTATTTTCACAAATCAATTTCTAGCCGAAAAAGTTATGCTTCGAATTTTTAGACTTAACTTCAGACCCATTTTTCGGATAGTAAACGTTCGAATTGGAAAATTTCTACAAGAATTGTAACCCTTTCAATTATCTTTCCAACTCATTTTGAATCAACTCAATCGGATATCCGTGGAAAAAGTTATGACTAAAATACCGAAAGCTTTTCAGAGACGAACCTGCGGACGGGGGCAATTCATGGCGCGCGGCACGCCACTATTTTCCCCAACCCGAGAGCCATTTGGTTTTACGGCGCGCAGCGCAACACTTATACCGGTGTGTGCGCATAGGCCTTTTTCGTAGACGAATATTTAGTTTCCTTTCGCGATTCAAGCCTCTTCATACATCATAGTTTCATCAAATTCATTAAGAACAAGAGGTCAATTGCTATATTTTGAAAGAGGAGATCAAGCCATAGTAAGGAATTGGAGGTCAATTACATCAAGATTTTGAAGAATTCAAAATTGGGTTTGAAAATTAACATTTTTTTATTTATTTCAAGATACGGGTGATATTTTCTATTATTCTTTTTGTAATTTATATATTAGCATGATATGCTAGATCCATTTTTGTATTGGATGAAGATGAACCATATTTGTTTATTTGTTTTAATTCAAGACTATTTGTTTAGTTTATTTCTTACATTTCTTGATAATTTTGCATACCCATTGTATTATTTAATTGATTGACCACCAATTAGATAATTAGTTGTTTATTGTAGTATCGGGAGATTCACATTAAGTTTAGAACGCGGTAAAATTAATATATGCGCAATAAATGTTAGGAATAACATTTATCACGTGTGCAATTATATAGATAATCTAAATTTTAATGTATTCTAATCATTTGAATTCAGACTAGGAATATAATTGGGTCGTGACTAGAAATATATTTAATTTGTCTTGGAAAAGAGAGTTAATTACAATAGAATTATTAATTGTCAAGAACACATGAACGAAACTAGATTACAAATCAATAATTGAAATAGAGAGCAATAGACGGATTCGAAATCCAATACAGTCATCCATAATTTGATACAAAACACTTTTTACTGCTCTATTAGATAATTTAGCATCAAATCAAATCAAAATCTCTATGTCATTCACACAATTCGAATTCCATATGTAACTAGTAAATTTGAATTGAATTTATTCTTTGTGGGACGATAACTCTTAATTCATCAATTCTATTACTTGTCAACGATCCCGTACGCTTGCGAGTTTTGCACGAACATGTAATTCTCAGCTTCCTAGTTTGCGCAATGATTTTCCATAAACTTAAAGATAAATCAAATGACTGTGAAAATTTATGAAATTTATAATGTAAGCACATAACTTGTCAGTGAACATCATGTTTAAATTCCATAATTTATCTCCTCCATTTTCCTAGCCAAATAACTTGATGAAGAACACACTTAAACAGAATCGGAGTAAGATATCACAGTTTGGGAAAATGTACAGAATAACTTCGAGATGCAGCTAATCGGTGTGATTCCAAGTTTGACAGACAAATAAATTTGTTAAGATTTCAAACCCAAATGATTTAATCTGAAAAATCAAAATATACACTCAGGAGTGACCATTACAATTAGAGTTTTAAATTTGAAAATTCTAACAGCCTATCAATTTAAAAATCAATTTTTAATCAAACAATGCAAACATATATTTTACTTCAAGAGTTTACGAACTTTAACAAACATTAATCTGAATACTAAACCCGATTCATATAAAATATCATAAGTTGTTTTTAGTAGATATTACAATATAACAAGAGGATAAGAGTTTAACCAACATAATTAGAAGTTATATATATGGATCAATCATGCTACAAGTACATAATTTTTTGACAGAAAATCTTTACAGATAACACATGGCTCGACATCATTGGAAGATGGGAAAAAAAAAAGTCCAATCGTGCACTTGAAATTTTTTGAAAGTTGATAAGTATTTCCTAAATGTGATGCATATGAACATTTTATTTTCTTTGTAAAAAATTAATGACTTAAAGATATATAATGAGTCATTTTTATCTCAACTTCTAAATAAGCTAAAGTTTAAGTTTAGACTTCAATGCACATTATTGAGTCTTGCTTTCCATCTTAATAATCAATATTAGAAAATCGAACCACTCAATTGAGCTTTAAACTTATAATGGGCTCATTCGAACATTTTGAGCTTTCATACCATATTGAGTGTTACAGTTTTATGTTAAAAGGTCAATTTCATTAACAAGAATACTCAAGCTTTTATTAGTTGGTTATTGATTTTTTATTTAAGGATTGATTATTTATTTCATATTTAAGCAATATAGTTTTTATTCTTCGCGCGCATAACATTTTTTGATTACTTTCTTCGAGCTTAGATATTACATGAACCCATAACTTAAAGTGTCCTAAATTGTCATGTCTTTAATAATTATGAACATGTTTAACTACATTGTTAGAATTTGGGTGTGATCCGAATTCTTTGTTGAAGATAATTAGGAGTTATAATTAAAGTGAATTTTAATTGAAATTCTACTTGGAAGCCCAGTTGGGAATTAGAATTTGTCTTGGATTTGAAGATGACATTGAGAAAATTAAGTTTTGAAGTAAAGGATCTGAGAGAAGGCACCTGCTCTATTTTTCCCTACGCCCTTTTACCTCTTCTACTCAGTTTTTGACTCCATTTCTTGTATTCTATTTCAACTACAACTCTATTAGTCGGTATCATCTTCCGCTTTTTTCAACATACATTAAGGAGCCTAAGTGGATTAGTTATAATTTGAGGTCACAAGAATTGGAAAAGTATGCAAATTTTATTCATTCATTATTGAAATGACGTGGTTTTAAATTGAATTGTATCGTTAGCTCTAATTTTCATGACATGTGACTTTACAACGTCCATAGATTATTATATGCCCTTTAATCTGATAAAATGCTCCATTAACTAAAGAAAATATTAAAGACGAACGAGGCAGGTACTAGTTTGCATGCGTGAAAAATATATTAGTAACTTGGCCTCAAAAGATATATTAATATTTGGTAGCGACTTGAGAACTGATTTGAACTCAAGTGGATGGAGCAGGTAGAAGACTGAATATGAAAACAAGTATTTGGTAGCGACTTGAGAACTGATTTGAACTGAAATTCATTTTTTCTTTTTTTTTTTTTTTTGTAAAAGAAGCACCCATTAAATTTTTCGACTTAAAAAATTTAGTGACTGCTATGGTAAATTTATAAATATTTTATAAAGAGGAGAAATAATGAGTCTCATAAAATGTGTGGATAATATTAAATAATATTTATGAATATATTGATAAAAATAATTTTTTACTTCAATTAAATTTATAAACAATTTATAAATTTGTGTCCTAAGGGAGTTTTAATAATGAGTAGAAAAGGTCGACTATGATGGAGGCTCGACCTAGTATCAAGCTAAAAATAAGAAGAGAACAATTTGTCACTTCTGGAGATGGGAAAAACAATGCCAAATCTCGAAAACTACACTTTAACGTAATTTAGTAAATTATTGTGGAACTTAAGTTGGGGAAGCCCATAACTTCAAGGGTTTGTCTATGTGTACATAATTTTATGTATATAATGGTGTCAGCACCTTCACATGTGCTGGGTCCACTTCAGAGTGGGTCTCACTCTATATGAGGATGTAAACATTATTATGTACATAAAATTATGTACAAGTAGCATATTCTTAACTTCAAAAGCGTTCTCCAAATACGGGCCCCAGGTTTCCAAACCTCTTTACCCTTTCCCTAATTCTCATTTACCTATATTTTGGATATATTTTATGTTGTACACATATTTTTTTACCGATCCTTTAAAACTCATTTTTCTCAAATTAATTTTTAATTAAACATTCTCTCAATAAATTATTTTGTACATTGACATAATCTTTCCTTACTCCTTCAAAAAAAAAAAAAAAAATCACTTTTCACGAAATTTATTTTCAGAAAATCTAAATCAAGCCGGCATAAGTTAAACGCCGGGCCAAAGTGGATAACCTGTCTAGAGTGTACTATGTATTATTGTAAAAAAATAAAAAAAAATAATAATAAATAAGCCTTCATTCGGGTAAAAAATTTACAAAATTAACGAATATTTTATAAATTCGATCAAAGTTAAATATGAATTTCAACCACAGATTTATAATTAGTACTCATTATTATTCACACATTTTTTGAGATCCATTGCTATTTCAAACGGAGGCTAAACATTTTTCTTTTGGGAAATGGAAAAAATGGTTTGAACTTTGAAGTATATATAAGAAATCTTACAATACTTATACTAGGGTTTAGGTTTCTACGTAGACAAAATTGTTTGATCACATTATAAATAGATTTGCATGTAATCCAATGCGTCACCTTGGTGATTAAAAAGAAATGATTAATGTGCACTACTTGTTCTTAGCCGCCGTGATATTGTGTATATATATATACTGGTCTCTAGTATTTGGCCATGCAAACATACCAAGGAAACAAACCATGGCTTCTTTCCTAGTTTCATGGTCCATCACCTCCACCTCTTTGGCTAAGCAATCGCATTTTGCAAAGAGAAACCCTCGCCTTCGTGTATCCTGTGAAAAAAATCAGACAGAAATTTCTCACGAAAATTTTGATAGGAGAAATTTGCTTCTTGGCATGGGAGGCCTTTATGGTTCATCTAATCTCCTTTCTATTTCACCTGCACTTGCAACTCCAATAGAAGCTCCTGACTTCACCAAATGCAGCAGGGGCACAAACTTGAGCACGGGGCAACCACTAGATGTCAATTGCTGCCCCCCATTATCAAGGGAAATCATTGATTACAAGCTTCCCCCGGTGACAAGAATGCGATTCCGACCTGCTGCGCATTTGGCCACGGCAGAGTACATAGAGAAATTTGAGACAGCTGTCGAGCTTATGAAGGCTCTTCCGGATGATGATCCGCGAAGTTTCATGCAACAAGCCAATGTTCATTGTGCTTATTGTAATCTTACTCATGAACAAGTTGGGGCCTCGGATTTGAGGATTCAAATTCACAATTGCTGGCTTTTCTTTCCATGGCATAGATGGTACTTGTATTTTTATGAAAGAATTTTGGGAAAATTGATTGATGATCCCACTTTTGGTTTGCCTTTTTGGAACTGGGACAATCCTGAGGGTATGTTTATGCCTGCCATGTTTGCAAATTCTTATTCACCATTATATGATGCGAGACGTAACGTGTATCATTTGCCACCAGCCATTGCTGATCTTTCCTATTCTGGTAAGGACGCAAAACATCCCTCAAAGATAATTCCACACAATCTTACCCTTATGTACCGTGAAATGATACGCCATGCTCGTCACCTTGAGGATTTCTACGGAGCAAAATATAGCACCGGGTCTAAGCCAAACCCCGGGCCAGGGACCGTGGAGCGTGGCTCCCACACAGCGATTCACTCGTGGGTTGGCGAAGCCACACGCACTGGAGAGGATATGGGAAATTTTTATTCTTCGGCTCGAGATACATTGTTCTTTAGCCACCATGCCAACATCGATCGACTTTGGACAGTATGGCAGGATTTCAGGGGCCCAAAAGCAAAGCATTTCACGGACTCGGATTGGTTAAATACAACCTTTTTATTCTACGATGAAAATGCACGACTTGTGCGGGTGAAAGTTGGAGACACTATGGACCACATAAAAATGGGATATGATTTCCAAAAGGTGGATATCCCATGGCAAAAGAAGAAGCCTAGGGCACATTGGAAAAAGTCCAAAGTAGCCTCCACCTCCGGTGCTCCATCAGCTGACAGTATTTTCCCCATAAAACTAGACAAAGTTATCAAGGTTTTGGTCCCTAGGCCTAAGAAATCAAGGAGTAAGAGGGATAAGGAAAATGAGGAGGAATTGCTGGTGATCGAAGGGATCGATGTAGACACTGCAACATTTGTGAAGTTTGATGTGTTTGTTAACGATGAAGATGATGATCCCTATGTGTTAGACAAGGCGGAGTATGCCGGCAGCTACTCGCAGTTGCCACATAAGAACTCTTCCAGGGTGAAGACTAAGATTAGGTTGGGACTGACTGAGCTGTTGGAAGATTTGGATTGTGAAGATGATGAATATATATTGGTTACTTTGGTGCCAAAAGCTGGGGGAGATGATATTACCATTGGTGGTATCAAGATTATTTATGTTTCTTGAATGTGTTTCCTTTGTCAAGAATAATGTTAAGATGCTTTGGGAATAATTCTGTGTGCAACTCTTCTGTTTGGTAATAATAAGAGATTAATTGAGATTTCGAAAATTCAATTTACTTTATGCATTTTCTGCTTCCATCAGGGACAAGATAAGAAATGTGTTCTCGTCATACTTCACGTCATGAGTATGTCCTCCACAGTAAATCAATATGTTTGAGAAAGTTGAGTGAGAGTTTAATTCAAGGAAAAACTATTATTCCTGATTTCTCACTTATTATTACTGATATGGAAAGTACAGTATTTATAGAAATGAAGCAACAGATTCTGACCTAATAACAAACACTAAACTAATTAGCTAATTAATGACTGGAAACTTATTACTGAAAAGTAAAGAAATAATGACGTGGATAATGATATTCCCTATATCCTCCCCTCAAGTGGGATCGCGGTGAAAAACTAGCAGACCCAACTTGGAGACGATTTTATGGAACTGTGGTCCAGAGAGAGCTTTGGTAAAAATGTCAGCTGGCTGATGATGCGTGGAGATGTGCTTGGGAATGATGAAGCCATCTTTGAATTTGTTACGAACAATGTGACAATCAATATCCAAGTGCTTAGTGCGCTCGTGGAACACGGGATTAGCACTAATGTGGAGAGCCGCTTGATTATCACACCAAAGAGAGATTGGAAGAAGGAGACAAAATGTAGGAAATCCATAACAACTCACAAACCGTAGTGGCCATACTTCGATACTCTGCCTCTGCTGAACTACGGGAAACTGTGGTTTGTTTTTTGTTTTCCAGGAGATGAGAGCTCCTCCTAAGAAGATACAATAGCATGTGAGGGACCTTCGTGTGTCTGAACAGGAGGCCCAGTCAGCATCGCAAAACGCCTCAATGCGGAATCCATTAAATAGACCAGTAGATAATGTTCCCTTGATGTATTTTACGACGTGAATTGCAGTATTCCAGTGAGTCAGTGTCGGGGAATGCACAAATTGATACAGTTGCTGGACACTGAAGGTGATGTCTGGCCTAGTTAAAGTGAGATATAAAAGCCTTCCAACTAGCCGGCGATACTTATCTGGGTTGTCGAGCACATTTTCATTATCTCCAAAGAATTTCAGACCCTTTGGTAGTGGAGTGACAGTATGCTTTGCTCTTGATAAACCAGCATCAGTAACTAAATCAAAAGCATACTTTCTTTGATTTATATATGTCCCATCCTTTCCTCTTGCAATTTCAATGCCAAGGAAATACACGGCATTTCCCAGATCTGGTGAATGCTGAATGAAGAGACACCTTGAGGTTTCGGATTTCATCTTCACTATTTCCTGTCACAAGCAAATCATCAACGTATACAAGTACAGCCATAAACAAGTCATCCTTGGTTAGAACATATAAACAATGGTCATGTGTAGATTGATAAAAACCATAGCTTTCAAGATGTTTGCTCAATTCCGTATTCCACTGCCTACTGGCCTATTTAAGGCCATAAAGCGATTTTTTGAGCTTGCAAATCTGTCCCTGTTTTGCTTTAGAATAACCTTCCGGTGGCCACATATATACTTCCTCTTCTAGATAACCATGTAAAAATGCATTATTAATAACTAGTTGAAAAATGGGCCACATCTTTGTAGTGGCAATTGCCAAGAAATTCTAATAGTAACATGTTTTGCCACAGGTGAAAAGCTTTCAAAGTAGTCAACCCCTTCTACTTGGTGGTATCCCTTAACTACCAATCTAGCTTTGCATCTATCTAATGTCCCATCTGCCTTTAGTTTTACTTTAAAAACCCATTTACAGCCTATTGGTTTCCTGTCAGGGGTGAGGGAAACAAGATCCCAAGTATCATTCTTATCAAGTGCAGCTAGTTCTGCATTCATTGCCTCGATCCATTCAACATTAGTACTAGCTTCCCTATAGGAATTAGGCTCCTAAACAGTGTTGACATTAGCAAGAAAGTGAGTGTAATGTGAATTGAACATTGGGGTAGAGTGTGAAGAATGGGAAGCGACTGGTGGTTGAATATCAGACTGAATATTTTCACTGTGACTGAAATTAGTCACAAAATCTTGAAGCCAATGGGGAGTGGTTTTCTGTATGTTACTTCTTCTTGGGGTAGCTGGTGTGGCAATCAGATTATGTGTTAGTATTTGGGTATCAATTTTAGGACTTATTGCAGGTGGTAGACTGTTGTTATCCCTGGCAATCCATGATTCAGTGGGATGAGCAGCAGATGGTGGCTGGGAGTTATTGTCATGTAATATATCAACCTCATGTTCACCAACAGATATAGGCAAGGGAGCAACAAGTTCATAATTGAAGTGATTGTTATATGGAAAAATGTGTTCATGAAAAATCACATCCCTAGACACAAGAATCTGTCGAGTATTAATATCAAACACCTTGTATCCCGTTTGTCCTGAACTAAAACCTAAAAGGATGCATTTAAAACTTCTAGGAGAGAATTTATGCTTTGAGGGTAATGTGTTGGTGGCATAACATAAACAACCAAATGTTCTTATATGATGATATGTGGGTGTTTTATTGTGTAACAATTCAAAAGGTGTTTTCCAATTCAACAGTTTGGAGGGAAGTCTGTTTATAATATATGTAGCCATTAAAATTGATTCCCCCTAGAAATAAGTTGGTAAAAAGGATTCAAACATGAGACTTCGAGCTACTTGAAGCAAGTGTTTATGTTTTCTTTCTACAACCCCATTTTGTTGTGGGGTGTAGATAAATGACTTTTGATGTAGAATGCCATTTGTAGCTAAAAAATTTTGAAAATCTTGACTCAGGAATTCTGACCCATTGTCAGTCCTGATGTTTTTTATGCTAGTTTGAAATTGATTCTTTATCATCTGATGAAAAAACTTCATGGTGTGCAAAACTTGAGTCTTATGTTTTAATAAAAAAAAGTCCAAGTAGCTCTACTGAAATCATCAATTAGTGTTAAAAAGTAATGTGCTCCACATATGGAAGCCCTTTTGTAAGGTCCCCAGATATCAACATGTAAGAGTTCAAAGGATGTTCTAGACTGAATATAACTTCTTTGAAAAGGTAATCTATGTTGCTTAGACAAAGCACATACGTCACAAGGAATGAAATCACCCTTATTACACTGTGTTCCTAATATGGAATGTTGTAAGACATTTTCAGGAACGTGACCAAGTCTTTTGTGCCACAAAATGGCATTATTAGACTGATTATTACAAGGTTTAGAAGGTAAAGTGGCTGCTGAAGCAATTTCAGACGCATTACAAAGTTCAGGGGTATGCTTTTGGATGTTACTCTGAAGGAAGGAGTTCTTATCTAGAATGTAAAAGTTGTTGATTGTTCTACCAACTGCCAGGGTCTCTTCAGTCTGTCGGTCCTGCAATAAGCAATGATCATCAAGAAAGATGAATTTGAGATTGGAGGTTTTGGCCAATTTGTTCACAGACAGCAGGTTAAATTTAAAAGTAGGTGTATGCAAAACTTCTGTGAGGGTAAGTCTTTTGCTCAGGAATATATTGCCAGAATGTTCAACTCTGTTAATTGTTCCATCTGGTAAATATACAGTACTGTGGTGGTGATAGTTTTGGGTTTATGTATGAGTTTTAGATCATTACACATGATTTGATGCTCCTGTGTCAACTATCCAAGAGTCCACTTCTATAAGGTTGCAGGTATGTAAAGCATAAATGTAATCTGTGGTAAGTACAGAACCTGCGAAATCTCCCAAGTGTGCATAGTTCACCCTGTCATTGCCTTTCCCTTTGAAAATTTTGATCAGTTCCTGTTAAATCACCTCACTCGGGTTCATCCCCTACATCTCCCGTGGAATCGCTTCATTCAACTTCATTCCATGCATTGTCCTTTCATTTTATTTCCCCCTTCTCCAGTTATCAGATCAAAGGGAGTCTCAACCAGATTTGCCATCTGTTTTTCTTTCTTCCTTTCTTTAAGGTCTTTGTACCAGTCAGGATATCCAATCAACTTGAAGTAGGATTCTCTATTATGTCCATTGACATTGCAATGTGTGCAATACTGCTGCTCTTTTTCCCTTTTGTTCTCATATCTCATTCCTTGTCCCCTTACTCCATTATCCCTTTGTAAGGCTGTGATTTAGCATATAAGGCGTTTAATTCAGCACCTTCACCGTACACAACTTGCACCCCCCTTTACTTCTCTACTCTCTGAACCATTGAGTAAGCTTTGTTCACCACGGGTAATGGTTCAGTAACTAAGATCTACCTCCTCACACGTTCATATTCTTCGTTTAGTCTCATCAGGAACTGCATCAACCTATTGAACGAAGTCATCTCTGTGGCTGCCTTTGCTGATCCACAAGTGCATTGTGGCAACGACATGAGATATGTTAGTTCATCCCAAAGTCTCTTAAGCTTCGTGTAATATTGAGTTACACTCAAGGTTCCTTGTGTCATGGTAGATATTTCCCTCTGGATCTGGTACAATTGAGGTCCATTACACCCTCCGAACATTTCTTCAATTTCTGTCCACAATTCTCTTGCAATGGTGGTATATAGAAATGCATCTACTATCTCCTTCAAGATAGAGTTCAAAATCCATGAAGTCACCATGTAATTAACCCGATTCCACCTCTCGTAATCAGCTGAATCCCTGTTTGGCACCTCAATTGAACCATCAATTATTCCCAATTTCATTTTCGCCCCTAGGGCTATACGAACAGATCTATTCCATGCCAAATATTCCTACCTGTTAGCGGCGCCGTGACCAAGGCTATTCCCGGATGGTCAGAATTATGCAGCACTAACGGATCATCCCTATCACCCTCCGCCATTTTAATTTCGTCTCAGTTTCAGCTCTTTCGTAGAACGAGGAAGACGATCGCCAATCCCTGGGTCGTCACTTGCTCAGATACCATGAGAAAGTTGGGTGAGAGTTTAATTCAAGGAAAAACTATTATTCCTGATTTCTCACTTATTATTACTGATATGGAAAGTACAATATTTATATAAATGAAGCAACATACTCTGACCTAATAACAAACACTAAACTAATTAGCTAACTAATGACTGGAAACTTATTACTGAAAAGTAAAAAAATAATGACGTGGATAATGATATTCCCTATAATGTTACCAATGTACATCATCTTTGTATCATTATATCGTAAATCTTCGAAGATATAGTAATATTCAAATTGCACTTCTTTGATTACATTAACACTACTTTGATTAAATATTTTGTGCACCTTCTTAACATGAAGTTTATCACCATCTATAACATAAATAGTCAAAAATGTAGAGACTTTTTTTTTTTATTTCTAGGTTTATTAAATAGAAATAAATCAACTTTCCATATCAAACTATTAACTATCCAAGTAGGATTGCATGGGTCTTAAGCATTGAATCTTTTAATGGTAAGTTATTAACAATTAATTGATCATTGCATGCGTATCCATTAATTTAAAGTCTAAAGGGTTGTGAAAAAATCATATAATAAATATTAGGTGAAAAAATTCAATGATGCATATATCTACACATGTAATAAAAATTAGTTAAAGAAAGCATTATGATTTTTTTTTTTTGTCGCAAATACCTAAAAGTCGGCGAATTAGGGTTTCATTGACGTGAATTATATGTCAAATATTTGGTTGAAGAACCAAAGACGCTATTATTTATCAATGTTAAAAAAAATTCATCGAAAAAAGACGACAGATAAGCGACCAAAAATATTATAAAACTAAAACATACTAACCAAATCATGTCTATCGCTAATCTTTTATTTTATAAAAACTTAACATAGTGATGGAAATAGATCCGTGCTAGTATTATTCAAAAAATAAAGGCAGTCAAATAATTAATACTCACTTATTCTAAACTTTGATCAATAAATAATTTTTATTTAATTAAAATATGTTTAATTACTTATTAATAAATTTACTTTTTACTTACAAATATGTTTGGATGACACTTTTTTTTCTTACTTTCAAGTAAAAAAAATTACTTTTTGAAAGTCAATATTACGTTATTATCAAAATGACATTTGATTAATAAAAATAAAATTTTATTATAAATTTACTTATTATATATATATATATATATATGTGTGTGTGTGTGTGTGTGTTTGGGTAAATTTTTTAGTAACTTACAAGGACAAGGAAGAATGAATCCCACAAAATGTGTACAAAATAAAAGAGTAGTAATTAAGAAATGTATGATTGAAATTAAAGTTTGATTTTCATCAAAAATAGTAAATTACTAGCAAAGTTATTCAAATGGAGGAAAATTTTAGAACGCAACTCGTCTATGTAAAAGGAATGTTTTATGGTCAATGAGAGAAGAATTAAAAGTACAATTGAAGAGAACAATTCCATGTTTTTAATATGAATAATGGTGTTTATCATTATGATAATATAACATCGGTGATGTGACAGTTTACGTAAAATTAGGGATGGCAACGGGGAGGGGCGGGGCGGGACGGCCCTCCCCGCCCCGCTAAGAAATTCCCCGCCCCATCNAAAAAAAAAAAATTTAAACGGGGCGGGGACCCCGTTACCCGTCCCCGCCCCGAACTCGCCCCGTTACCCGTTTAAGCGGGTTTTCCCCTCCCCGTTCGGGCGGGGCCCACGGGTATCGGGTTTGTCGGGTTTTTTTTGCCATCCCTGCGTAGAATAATGAGATTTGACAATTCAATTTTTATGAGAGAGAAGGGAAGGAGAGAGAGAGAGAGAAATGTGAGGGGTAATACGTTGTTGTTACATTACCAATATTATATAATCACGATGATAAGTAGCATTACTGTTTTAAAATCGGTCTGGTCATAACCCTAATCTAGTCCTACTGCTTCATAATATTCCTTCGCTTCACAATTTGTCAGCCACTTCAGTTTTCTTCCACATTCACATCATTCAGTCTTTATGAGATAGAAGTTGGCATAGCGAAGAGAAGAACCCAAACTGAAGATTAAGAAAGGTGAGGTCTAAGTTTGAACAAGAAAAAAAATATTTTAATTAGAAAGTAGACCCTTTGAATCGGTGAAATCGTGACCAATTCACCGGTTTATGGATAAATCAGCCAGTTCAACGATTTGAAGCTGAGCCTTTCATAAGCAGTTATTAAGACATAAACAACTCGATACTAAAATTAGTTTTGATTTTACCATTTCAAAAGGTCATGCCTCGCCAATTTTCACAATATTGAGAAAAATCAAACATTAGAATAAATTTCCACATTTCACTTTCATCTTAGAAATTTGAGTCTTGGTTTGATATTATTGCGCTCTTAAGAGAACAGAATGAGGTAAGTGTTTGATAAACTTTTGTTTCAAAATTGTTGTATACTTCAAAATTAGCATTTAAGCATTTGGTAAACATAAGTAAATTTTGCTTTGAAGATATTCAACTATTATTATTATTATTATTATTATTATTATTATTATTATTATTATTATTCACTATAAATGATTTAAATTCAATAGAATTAAACTAAGTCTCAAAACTCATAAAATTACAAAATAAAAGCATAGTCTTTGTAGTAGAACAATATATAAATAAAGTGAAATTATCTTATTGGCATCAAACTTAAAGAAACTCGATTTCTTAATATCTCCATTTTCATATAATAAGAAAAATATCAAATAAATTCAAATTATCTTTAACATTAACTATGGGATGAAAGATTATTTTATATTGGAATACTAATAAACCTAGATATAAAATGAATTACATTAATTAATTATGATTTAAATTGATATTTTAATAATAAATAAGTAGAAAAATTAAAAGTAAAATTACGTGGTTCAATGCTGGGATGGATAGTCTACGGACAGAAAATGTAGAAAGAAACTAGAGAAAAATGATATATGGATAGTCTACCTTGAACATTTTAGTTTTGTGTAGGAAGTTGTTAGGAAAAACATTGTATTGTGCGGTTTTCACGACTAATAAAGCTTTCTTCTCTTATGGTCGTCGGCAATTTGTTGAATCAAATTTAAAACATTGTATTTTTTGTTCACTGCATTAGGTAGGATTTTTTTTTTTGGTAAATTCTATTTGCGGTAATTATATACTTTCCCTATGTTTCAATTTGTTAAGTGTAATTCAATTTTTTATAATCGAGTAACTAAATTTTAATTTGATTTCAATCCAATAACTATGGCTGATTCCAACACTTTGACTAACAAAAATAGTGACCGCTACTGGTTATATTTGATCATCATCGTTTATAAACTGTCACTCATCGAACTATCGTCAATGAAATTAGGCGAAATTATCCTAATTGAAAATAAATAAATTTATATTAAAATGTAATTATCGTGTTGAAGAAAATTGAGGTACATTTAAATGGAATATTTGAACATAAACTTGAAAAGTCAGAAGTGATATTCATACTTCACACGTAATTCTATTTCCACATTCTAATCATTCTCAACCAAGAATTGAACCACTTGCATCTCTTTCGTTCCACTTTTCTCCATGTCAATTCGTGTAGTCATAATACATTTTATTGGCCAATAAGAGAAATGTAAAGACGTGATTTTGAAAAATGAAATGTCTAGCCGCCCTAATAGAAAATGTGCATGATAGGTGTTGAATCAAGACTAATTGGATCATATGGAACTTTCTTTGCATCTCCTATGGAAATTTAGCAGATGAAGATTTGAATTAGGCTACTATGCTGGAAAATGTTGACGTCGTAGTTGTATTGGTGGCAGAAAATGATAGAATGTGAAAGTTGATTGTTTTCTAGCAATGTAGTATTGTTGGATTTCCAATAACTTGTGTAGGATAAAAATCCAACTCTATATATTCTTGTACTTTCGTATCAAACATATTAATTACCTAAAATAACCATGGCTGCTCTTCCGTTGTCATGGTCCTTCACCACCACCACCACCTCCGCCCCATTTGTAACAAGGCCGTCGCGTATGTTGATTGATGCAAAGCGAAGCGACCGCTTTCAGGTGTCGTGTGAGCAAAACCAGACAGGCAGCACCAGAAGCGATGAAATTTCTCATGGGAAATTTGACAGGAGAAATGTGCTTCTTGGAATGGGAGGGCTTTTCAGTGCAGCAAATCTAGTTTCTGCTTCATCCACATTTGCAACTCCACTAGAAGCTCCTGATTTCACCAAATGCAGTAAGGGCACAAATTTGAACACTGGACAACCACTAGATGTGGACTGTTGCCCTCCAGTAACAACAGAAATCATTGATTACAAGCTTCCCCCTGTGACGAAAATGCGATTCCGACCAGCTGCACATTTGGCCACCAAAGAGTACGTAGCTAAATATGAGAAAGCTGTCGAGCTTATGAAGGCTCTTCCGGCTGATGATCCGAGAAATTTCATGCAACAAGCCAATGTTCATTGTGCTTATTGTAATCTTACTTATGACCAAGTTGGGGACTCGGATTTGAAGATTCAAGTTCACAATTCTTGGCACTTCTATCCATGGCATAGATGGTACTTGTATTTTTATGAAAGAATCTTGGGGAAATTGATTGATGATCCCACTTTTGGGTTGCCATTTTGGAACTGGGACAATCCTAAGGGTATGGTCATGCCAGCCATGTTCGTGAACACTAGTTCGTCACTATTTAATGCTAGACGTAATCAAATTCACCTGCCACCCGCTGCCACTGATCTTGCCTACTTCGGAACCCAATCCGTTGATACCACACAAATAATTTCGAACAACCTTACGGTGATGTACAATGAAATGGTACGCAACGTTCAGACCCTTGAGGACTTTTATGGAGCAAAATATAATACTGGGACACAGCCAGACCCCGGGCCAGGGACGGTGGAGCGTGGATCACACACTGCGCTTCACGTGTGGGTTGGGGAGGCCACAAGCACTGGAGAGGACATGGGCAACTTTTACTCTGCCGGTCGAGAGCCACTGTTCTTTAGCCACCATACCAACGTTGATCGCCTTTGGACAATATGGAGGGATCTAAGGGGTTCGAAAGCGAAGGATTTTGTTGACTCGGATTGGTTAAATGCTAGCTATTTATTCTACGACGAAAATGCACAACTTGTACGTGTGAAAGTTGCAGACACACTGGATAACATAAAAATGGGATATGAATTCCAAAAGGTGGATACTCCATGGCTGAAGAGTAGGCCGGTTGCGCGTGCAAAGAAGTCCAAAATAGCCAGCACCACGGCTGCTCCATCAGTCGATAGTATTTTCCCAGTGAAACTCGACAAAGTTGTCAAAGTTTTGGTTCCTAGACCTAAAAAATCGAGGAGTAAGAAGGATAAAGAGAATGAAGAGGAATTGCTAGTGATTGAAGGGATTGAAGTGGATACTGCAATTTTTGTCAAGTTTGATGTATTTGTGAACGACGAAGATGATGATCCGAATACATTAGACAAGGCAGAGTACGCGGGATGCTTCTCCCTGGTGCCCCATAAGAATTCGATCCTCTCGAAGACTAAGATTAGGTTGGGATTGAGTGAACTGTTGGAGGATTTGGATGTTGAAGATGATGAAAACATATTGGTTTCTTTGGTACCGAAAGCTGGAGGAGATAACGTTACCATTGGTGGTATCAAAATCATCTATTCTTCTTGAGTGCATGTTTAATGGTCAATGACAATCTTGAGCTATTTCAGGATGAGATGTATGTATGGCTCACATTTTACTCTTATATTCGGTTTATTTGTAAGTTTAAAGATTCATTTGCATGATTACACTATAGATCTTGAGTGTTTTTGATTGTTTATTTTATTTCTTTAAATTGATTATTTTTTGTGGGATAAAATTAGGGTTTATAGTTCCCAACATAAATCACCCATTTTCCGGAAAAAAATCATTTTACACTTGGGAACGTCTCTATCTCATATTTAAGTTAGAAAATGAAGTGGAGTGAAGAATAAAAATTCATAGAGTCAAGTGGTGCACGGTGATAGTTATGTCCCGCAACAAGTGTAATCCTCGTATTTAGTTCACGTCCTAGGAATTTTTTACACATAATATTGTGCAACAGTTAAACTAGAAAACATGGAGTTTCCATTCTAAAAGTTTGCAAAGTCTACAAAGCACAAATTTTAATACTTCCATTCACTTCAACTTTCACCCGACAATATGTAAGTATATACTACAATTCAATGAGATAATAATTATAAGTTCATTTTGAGAAATATTAAAAAATGTTATAGTTTATGGGAGTGTACCTTTAAATTTAATTCCGAGCAAAACACATTATTCTTTTAGAAGGGGCATTTCAAAGGCCAATCTTGCACTGGATTGGAGCCATGTTTATACATATTTGGGCTTCACCATGCAAGGACAAGTCTATTAAGATTTGAAATTTCATTTTAAGAGGTCAATTTTATTAAAAAGAGTAGTTCAATCACTTATATATTGATTTATATTTTCATATTTATTCAATGTGAATTTATTCCGTAGCATGCCCCACAAAATGATGGCTCGTTTGAGCATATCAATTTTGAAAATTCTTTTGCTCAGTTTTGAGTCTTGGTCGGATCAAATTGCTTGTTGCAATTTGATGGGCTCTGATACCATATTAAAACTTGATATTTCATCTTAAAATGTCAACTTTATTAAAAAAAAGTAGTTCAATCTCTTATATGTTGATCTATATTTTCATTTTTATTTGATGTGTGATTTATCCCTTAACAAAGTCTCCATGCCCACAAGAAGCTTACAAGCTGAGTACAAAAATTTGGAAAAGAGGAGAAATAAAATTTGGAAGTTAGTTACTTGAACAAAACAAAAAGGGAAGTCGGAATCCATCCAAAATGTAAGAATCTAAATCGATAATACAGGGTTAATTTCACTTTTGGTCTCCTATATTTCATTAAAACTCAATTAATTTGTCAAATCGATCAATTCAATGTAAATTTAGTCGCTTTCTTGGACCTAGCTAGTTATTGAAATTAACATCAATTGAAAATCTAACGGGAAGTTGACGTCAATTGAAATATCATCTTCAACAACCACACAAGTAAAAGAGATACCTGAATGGAGGGCGTAGAATGAAGTGTGGCTTTGGAGACACTACGATGCCATTGGAGAACGATTGTGGACCAATCTGTAGGCATTGCTGCATGGGAAAATCTGTAGGTAAATTATGACCAGTAGGGTGACGATGATTTTGACATGGGGAATAATAGGGGGGTTTAACATATTCAAATAGTTTGTTGAAACAAAAGATGAGATATGGCAATATGAAAAATAAGAACAAAAACACAACATTTATGTCGAAACCCAATATAAGAAAAAATTACAAACAGAGAAGAAGAAATTCACTATAATAAATATGGAGGATTACAAAGTGTGTAGAATGATTTTTCAAAGAGATTTACTCCTCGTACATATAATACAAAGAAGAGATTAATATAAAGTGGAGTCCTAAATAAGAACAATCAATAGCGGGGTGTTTAAGATTGAATAGAAGAGAAAAAATTGTCGAAATTTCGAAATTCAATTGCACATGATATATAACATGGTCGCTTGAGCGGCTCCCTCGCGGCTAGCGAGAGGTGCCATGACCGTTCGGGTGCTTACCTAGCGGTTAGAGATCGTGGTGGTGTTATTGAAATTTCTACTCTAGCGCCTGATGAACGGCCAACGAGCGGTCTTCAACATGAATCTTCGTCTTACTTATGTCTTTGACTTTAAGACTTATTCAACTACCAACTCCTAATAGTTACATTGGTGTGGCTACTAATTCTATGGCTCAAATTAGGTCTCTATTATTGCTATCTTATGGGTGTTAATAGAGTTTGGTGGAAACTGACTCCCAGTTAGTAGAGCATTGGTTCAATGGACGTGGAACCCCTCCTTGGTCCCTCTATAATATTTGGGGGGCAATAAGGAGTTGGCAGAGTATTTGGATCTAAATCTCAGTCATGTTTATCGCGAGACAAACACAGTAGCCGATTCTTTAGCAAGGTCGGGTGCGAATGGTTTTCCACGGTTTTCCTCCGCCATTAATTGTATCCACGGTTTTCCTCCACCATAAGTGAGGGTTCCTAATAAATTTAGCTTAAAAAAAAAAAAACTACCAACTCCTAATAGAACTTCCAAATAAAATTCGGGTTACAACCGAACTCTAATATAGTGGGCTAGACAGAATCCAATCCCTTCACATATTGTATGTACTGTAGCGACAAAAAAAAAATCTCATTTATTTCATTTTGGTATGTTTTGTTAATTTTGAGATGTTTAGAGACTAATATGAAAATAAGTTTTGACGTCGTTATTTTTTTATTCGGTCAAATAATCAAGTATTCATTTAGAGAGAATTTCATTATCATTTGACCAATTTGATCTTTTAATATTTTTGAATTAGGATGAAAGTTATTTGGGATTTGTTATATATGATTTAATTATGTAATTAAAATTAAACTAGAATTTCGATTAAGTTAGTTTTTGGAATCGTAGCAAATCAATTACTCAAAATATATTCAGACTCCTTATATTTTCAAAGACCAACTTATACGTGATTAGTTTTAATTCAAATGATACATAACTTTTTTTTGTTTAAGTTATAATCAAACCTAAAATTTGTTAAAGCCCTATCCTAATACTAAAATAGGAAACCTATTCCTATTCAAACTCTGCCATTTGAAAACCTATTTTCGTCCAACTTTTGATGATAGACGGCTTCCTTCTAAATACACACAAAGGTTTCCTATTTGAAAATATATACAACAATAACAGGCTAGATAGAAGCATATTATGTCTAAGATTTTAGAAAGGAGTTCTATTCGACGTAATCACTGCCTTATCACCTCGAATTAAGGTAGGATTCCTACACTAAGTTGATCATTATATGAATTTAATTTTCACATACATGTTATTCATTATGTTTGATCATGAAGTGTGTGTAGTGTCTTTAATGGTTTTTCTTAAATGACAATGTTATAGAGATTATATATTTGACTGACGGCTGCAGAGGCTCATCGGAACTTTAAGAGATTATATGTTTAAATGATGGCCATGTAGGCTCATCAGAACTTTAAATAGATCATTTCATCATTGACTTGCTTATTCACGAAGGCAATATATAAGATTACGTGATTCGATGCATGATTATTATGTTCATATAGCATGTGTAGCCCACTGAGTATTTCTTTGGGATGCTCATTGCTATCTAATATATTCAGAGTAATTGGAGATCCTACGGTGACTCGGCACGAATTGTATACTTATTTTAGAGAAATTGATTCCTTATGTTTTAGGCTGGCACTTTTTATATTTAATAACTTTTGTAGTGTCCAAGGATTTGTAATTTAAGTTAACATTTCGAGATGGTAAAGTTTAACGTTTGGACATATGTTTTCATGAGTTTTCAGCATTCTGCAATTGTCTTTAAAAATTTATTTTAGTCTGCATATTTAGAATTTCAACATGTTTTTAGTTAGAAAATGACCTTTTATGATTATCTATCACATGCAATTGAAAGCAAGTCGATCGGAGTCCAGTGAAATTTATTATAGTATTTTTAGTAAACTGCAACGATCAAATTCGGGAAACACGGACTAACCTGTTTGAAAAATAATTTTGTGCTTCAAACGTCACCATCGAGATCCCAGATTTTTATATGTTATACTTATGTGTTATATACTCTCTTCTAAAATTTCATAAATGGTCATCAAGGTTTACTAGGTCAAATAATATTTGTAAACTCACTGTGCAATAGGAGAAAATTGTTTCCGCTTGCTGTTTTTTCTAAAAAAACTCATTCCAAATCATTTTGTTCCGTATTTTTCTAAGTCTATATGTTGAAAATTGTTAGGTTTATATTTTGTATTGACGATTCTGTGAACAAAAGGAACAACTTGAACAGTTATAAAAGTTTAGAGACTCAATTGTAAAGTTTCATAGTTGGTAGGTTAGCCTAGTGTTCGGGATTTTATGCTCGGAACTAAGTTAAAGACTCGGCGCATTTTCGCTAGCTGCTTGCCGGAAGCATGCTCGAGCGACTGAAACAGAACAGTCTTCGCTCGACTTTCGCCAGCCGCTCGCTCGAGCAACATATCGTTTGCTGGAGCGACAAAGCAATTTCGCTCGAGCGACGGTTGTATATGGAAAACCTAAGTCACGTTTATTGATGAGTTTTATATGGCCCAAGTCTCCAAAATAGATTCAACTATAAATAGAGGCGTCGTGGATGAATTCATTGTGGTCGCTACATTGTTCTTACATTGAGAGATTCATTAACATATTTGAAAGAGATCCAAGAGGCAAATCATTGAGAGATTGATCAACTTATTTCTTGAGATCCAGCAACCCGATTTTGGAAAACATCAAAGGTTCCATAATAAAAAACACATGGCGTCATTAATCTTTTAAGGAACTGACTCTTTCACTGAGATTTGAAAGAGGTGGAGGAATAGTACAAGAACGAGAGGTTCTTGGGTATCCACTTGGAAGAGACGTATGTAGAAGAATGTGAGATTGCTACAGCATATCTTGGCAGAAGATTGTGAGTCTGTAAGTACAGCAGAACTTGGAAGCCACAGAAGGTAGATCGGGAGATCTAGCAGGTTCGCTAGATAGTATATACTGTAGCAGATCGTGAGTCTGGAGAAACAGCAGAT